ACCTTGACATCTTGTGGATTGTGGGCCATCAACGGTGTGTCCGTAGATGGCTGATGAGACCGATGTTAGCACGGAATGTTCTGCCACATACTGAACAGAGAAATGTGGACACTGTTGCTTCAGCATTTGCAGCTCTGGCTTTACGGAGTGCTCGCTTCTCTTGTGCCAAGATTGTCCTTCTGTGTTCATATGTCTGGCAACCCTGGTAAACTAGGGTACGCCATGTCGGTCGATCATCTTTAATATAGGCTTAGCCTATATACACCTATTTAATCATCCTATAAATATTTTTTTTATATAGTCTACTCCTTTCTCCTTAATTCACCACCACTAGCCATGGGGTTTGTTCAATCTGCTTCTTGTGTAAAAATATCAACTTCTTTGTATCTGGCATTGTATTTCATTAACTAGAGTTAATTTGATATCTTCTTGTTAGAAGAGAGTTGGTTTTGTCCTGGATTGTCCAGCTACGCCTACATGACACGTCATGGCAAGAACTGTACAGCGGGAGCTGTCTACACCTACCATGAAAAGAGAAAAGACACAGGTGAGGAGGTCATAAACTGAAGTGTATATGCAGTGCTTCCTTAATTGAGGAAAATTTTGCCTCCCATTGCAATAGTGGAATTGCATTTGAAATTCAAAGCAATTTTTCTTAACCTATGTCTGCTGTGTGTGTTGAACTACAATCTTCATTTTGTGCTGCTAGCATATTAATTGGCATGCTGGCTAGGGATGACAGGAAATCAAATTGAGGAAAAGCAATCCACAATGCAGGTGACTACTATGTGAAGAGGATGTTTTAAGTGGGATAGGAGAGATATATTGGTAAAATAGGAATAGTTACAAACATTTTCTTTTCATTTATTCAGTGGAAATAAAAGTTTTTCATGAAGTCCCTAGGTCTTGTTATCTGGCATCCTCTGTGTGTAGTTAAATGGTCCCCTCTTCCTATTGCCTTTATAGCAGAGGTCCCCAACCTTTTGGGCACCAAGGACCGGTTCTGTGGAGAGAGGTTTTTCCGCGAACCGGAGGGACATGGTTTCATGTACTGTCTGCATCTCGCGGATGGGGCTTTGCATGTTTGTGCAGATTGGTTGCTGGCATGCCGCAGCACAGTACTGGTCCACGGACCGGGGGTTGGGAACCCCTGCTTTATAGAAAAAGGGTTCAGAGGATTGTCACAACATTTGGGAGTAATTTCTCCCCACCCTTTGGCTTGCTCACATTTTCAGACATAATATAGTGAAATAAAGAAGGCCGAACTGGGAGGCAGTTACCTTTGTGCTGTTTATGACTAGCTGGATATTGGGAGAATTTCTAGGCTAGTCCAGAGTTTGGGTCACACCCCTGGAGTGTGATTAATACGCTCCAGTATTTCATTGAAACTCAGACTAAACTAATTCACACTGCAAGCTTTGGAACAAGCTGAGCATTCTTGGCAAACTCTGCTTTCCTGGTTAGAGTGTCATCAGTTGTTATCTTTTGCCAGATCTAAGCAGCAATCCAGAGCAGCCATTTGGATAGCTTTTTTTCAACAAAATGGTATAGGGTTACCTGCCTGAGCAGGGGGTTGGACTTGATGACCTCCAAGGTCCCTTCCAACTTCATTATTATTATTATTATTATTATTATTATTATTATTATTATTATTATTATTATTATCACTGCACTCTTGCCGTGACCTTTCTCTGTTTTTTCAGCTGCCTCTGGTTATGGGACACAGAATGTCCGCTTGAGCAAAGATGCTGTCAAGGATTTCGACTGCTGCTGTCTCTCCTTGCAGCCCTGCAAGGACCCTGCTGTAACGTAATTATCAAATGGGATCCATCTGAAATATTTCAAAGTCTTATGTTGAAGTTCTGCCCTGTGTGTCTTTTTTAAAACTTTATCAATAATGTAATCTCTAAAAAGAAAAGATAATTACCCTTGTCCATTACCATTAATTTATTTGTTCATTTGCTACATATGCCTGTTGGTTTTTTTTTTACAAATGTAGTAGCCTTTTTAATGTATATTTGTATAGATGAAGTAATGTGCACCTTTTGCTGCTTGACAGTACTTTATTATTTGCATGACACATTTAGTGCTGGTCCAAGCTTTGTTTTGGAAGGAAATTTAAGGGTGAAATAGATGCACTTTGCCTTTTAAATTCCCCAGGTATATAAAAAAAAGGACTACAGTTTTTACTTTTTACAGGGGCAGGAGGAAGAACCACAAAGGGATGCATTTATCTCTTTTGTACCCTTCCTGCACAATCTTAATTTTGTTGGTGCTATCCTCCTTCCTTCTATTTCATAGAGGAATTGAGGTTAAAATCTGGAACATGAATTCAATATGTCTCTGTGCCACAATGCTCCCTCTCCCTAGAAATTTAAGTCCATCTATGGAACACAGATCAGGTACTTCATGTATCCATTGTTACACATGAAATGTTTTATGAGAACTATTTTATGCATTGTAGTGTTGTGATCCACACATTGCTATTTCTGATAATCATTGGTGCAAGAAAAAAATATTTTTTGGAGAAGAATAGGTCGGGGGGGGGGGCAGAATATGGGAACTGTTACAGAATTGGGAGTGATGTGGACAAGATTTAAAGCAACAAATACCAGTAAGAAATGGGGCATAGCTCCATTACTAGCCCTGGCTTTTGTCTGCAATTCTGCAAAAAACACTCTTTCTGTCAAGCTGTTACCTGAAGAGGTAGTCCTCTTGTTAACTGCCCTGTTTAGTGACTGTTCACATTTAGAACTGCACTGAAAAAATAGTTTTATAGCCACCCTTGAATATATGGCAGTCACAGTATCTCCACGATCCCAGGATCGCAATTTGGGCTCTTGACAAATGGCCTTCATTTATAGTGGTCACAGTATCCCACAGTCATGTGATTATCATTTGTGAGCTTCACAACCAGTTTCTGACAAGCTAAGTCAGTGGAGAAGCTGACAGTAAGTTGCAAGTTGTGATTTCATGACATTGTACTTAATGGCCTAGGATAATTTGCTTAGTGAATGCTGTGGGAGTGACATCATAAATCCGGGATAGTCATGTGATATTTCACTTAAACAGGACATTTAGTGAAGGAGTTGCTGGTCTTACTTGCAGTCTTTAAGTGAGGATAACTGTGCATGCAAAGATGTTAGACTTCTTGAATTCTGTTGGTTTCATCTCTCTCTTCCCTGACCCTGCAGTTTTACCATGTGTTTTCTGAGCCACTTTTTTGCAGCCCATAAAGCGCCCTCTAATTGCAATGGCGTGGTTTCTTGATATTTTATCCCACAAACTAAAAAGTAAGCCTCAAAATAGGGTTACTGTATTTAAAAATTAAACACCCCCCCTCCAACTTCCTGTCTCAAACTCAGAAAAATAAACTCTATTTATTTCTTCTCTATAGCTGTCTTGAAAGAGTTAAGAGTCATCCTGGACATTAAAAATGTGCCCCATTCAATTACACATGTTATGACTTTTCAGATGTATCCTAGAATACAGGAACCAATAACTAAGTATAGTTATGCTCTGAAGTTCTCACTGTAGTCAAAGAGGCACGGGGGCTTTAGGAGCTGGTGGGTTTACAAGTGATATTCATCTTGCTTTCCCCCCTTCTCCTTTCCAGTCCTGATGGATACCTCTATGAAAAAGAAGCTATCCTGGAGTATATCCTACATCAGAAAAAGGAAATTGCCCGTCAGATGAAGGTATGCCAATATGGAGAGCTACAAAGGTAGTTGGCTTCATACCTGAATGTCAACTTTAATAGATATATTGGAAGACTATGTCTAAAAAGCTAGCAAATGAAAGAAGATGCAGAAAAGAACTGTATCCCAGTAACATAAAATATCTGTGCTTTATAACATGAACATTAACCCAGTAAACTTGACTTAGCTGAAGTAAGCTTAGTATGGTTTCTTTAGTTGGTGTTTTGCATTTTTTATAAAGACTTAACTGACGCTTTATCTTTGTAACAATTCACATGAATTATTTTAGTCTTCTTTTCATAGGCCTGTTTTCTTCAGTAGCGTTTATCCAGATCAAAAGCCTTTATCCTTTGCCTGTGATTCACTGCAGGCTCACTTTGAGGCAGAAAGATTTCTAGTGCCTCTGACAATCATTGCCTAACGGCCAGGAGGGGCTGATACTATCTGACCAATGAGGCTGCAAGATTTGAGGAACAGTCTGTTCAAGAAAGGATGTGGAAGTAGAGGTAGAAACAAGAAAGATTTTTAGTGGTTATTCAGTTTTGTTCTATAAAACAGATTTTTTTCCTAAAATTAATATATAAACATTATAAAATAATAAATTTAGGATCTGACTGAAACCACAGATGAACTCCATGTCTGTGGCCAAATTTGGTTTCTCTTGCTTTGGTCTACCAGTTAAGGCACCAGGCTAGAAAACAGGAGATCACGAGTTGAAGTTCCACCTTAGCTGTGAAAACCAGTTAGGAGACTTGGGCCAGTCAGTCTCTCTCAGCCCATTTCTCCTCACATGAGGTGGTTGTTGTGGGGAAACGAGGAGAAAAAGTGTGTACTGGATATGCTCGTTGTCTTGAGTTTTTTATAAAAACAACAAAGGTGGGATACAAAATAAATAAATAAATCCTTTCCCTAGAACTGGAAGATAAATTTAAAGAACGGAGTGGCTGAGACTCACTCTCTTTAGTAAAAGTTGATATGGACCTTATTGATATTGATTCCTGATCAGTGTACAGGAGGTAAAAAAGAGATTTAACTGTTATGTCTTTTGGGCAGACTTGGATTCAGAGTATCAAAAAATACAAAGGACACACAATGATTCTCATATATTCTAGTTGGCATATCTTCAAGTCCCATTCTGGAGGCTATTCATGGGAATGGCTCCTCTTTGTCTCTTTTCAGGTGACAGTGCTACATTAGAGGAATGTAGGCAAAAAAAAATCAGCACTTTTTAGCAAGACTACTTCTCCAACATGATGACGGAAGAATCCACCAATGGGTTATTTCAGTCCTACTGCCCAATCAGACCAGTTGTCACGCCTCCTCTTTATCTGGGACCTCCCAGTTTTCATCTTGGTCTTCGCCCATGACGACGTGATAACTTGACTCTCTGTGTTGTTTGGAGCAGGTCAGGCTAGATCAGTGGTTCTCAACCTGTGGGTTGGGACCCCATTTGGGGTCGATCGACCATTTCATGGGGGTCGCCAAGCAAGGCTGTCCACCATTTTTTTTGTCCGCCATTTTTTCCCCCTTTTCCGGCAGGTGCCTTACCTCCCTTGGGCTGGGCCAGCTGGTGGTCGGCCTGCTCCGTCTCTGCCGCTTGCCAGCTATGCCTCGGCCGGCGCAGGGGGCAGAACCACACATGCGCGACGCTCCCGGGCAGAGAAAGTCCTCGACTTACGACCGGTTGGGTAGTCCTCGACTTACAACCGGTTTAGTCCTCGACTTACGACCGGTTTAGTCCTCGACTTACGACCGGTTGGGGTCGTGGCATTAAAAAGGTTGAGAACCACTGGGCTAGATTTTACTTTTCTTTGATCCATCAGTGGATTCTTCTGAATAGTGGAGATTATTCCCCTCAGGAAATACTTATTCCTTTCCCTTTCCCTTCAGGGTTAGTTTCCCTCCAGGACTGGGGGTGGTGGTGGTTTCCCTTCCCTGAATTCAGCTATTTTGCTGAGCCATTCCATTCCCTTTCTGGCAGAAGTGGAGGGAATATTTCTTTAAAGAGGGCTTTGAGCTTGTTTTTTACAACCCCCTAGCCAGCGCGCATGTGTTTTTCTGGCTGGTGGCCGCACCTTTGAAGCCTCGTGGCTTCGTTTCTGACCGGGCCTGGTCAGAAAGGCTCGCGGCCGCCATTTTTTTTCCACGGAGCTGCCTTTGCCGGAGTTTTTTCGGCCCGAAGCACAGCTGAGTGGCTGGCTTCGAACAGTGGGGAAGGGGGGAATCATGCCTAGCTTTTGCCTTGCCTTCAGCTACTGCTGAAGAGGAGGAAGCCTCATTTGTTTTCGGAGGTGAGCGGTTTGCGCGCCTAACAGCTGTTAGGCGCAATTTATCAAACCGCTCCCTTATTGCAGAAAAGCCTTGCTTTTGGCCTTCTTTACCTTCTGGGTTCCCCTTTAACTACATTAAAGATCCCAAGTGTCTCCTCCTCTCTTCCTCCTCACCTCTCTCTCTCCCATTTAGTACCTGATCTCAGGACGACCGCCATTTTGGGACAATAGGGAAACGCCCTTTTCACACTCGGGCCAGGAGCCATTTTGTGCAACTGATTATTCTACCTGCAGCAGTTAAATTATTCTGTATAATTCTGTTTAATTGCATAGATTTTCATAGGTTTCTGCATTACCTGTAGTCACTTCTCATTGAGCTTAAGTGTTTCAGAATCTATCATTACTATTGAAGATATCCATTATCTACAAGGTGTGAACTCACTGCACAAGCAACGGTCCTTTCCCTGCTCACTACATTGCCTATATCTGCCCTTCTGCATCTAGTGGTTGCTTCAAGTTCCTGACCATCGCCACTATTGTGGGACACGTGTGATCTCGTCACCAACTTGGTGCGCCAGGCGTGAGACCTGGTTAGCCAGTGGGCTGGCTCACGCCTATCCACGTGAAGTCAATCCCTCTTCAGGGGGGCCTCCTGACGTCCCTTGCAGACCGAGTCAGTCCCAGGGTCACCTCGGGGTTGCATCTCGATAAATATGGCAGAAACCACTGAGCCACCGCTTTTGGACACGGACACTATCTCCGTCCAAGTTGAGCCAACACCTGGGATACCTAGAGGCAAGGCCAAAGCCAAATCGAAGTACGGCAGGAAGGCTAGCAAGGCAAGCGATAGGCAGGCCGACCGTACTCACAGAGCCCTGGAGAAGCAATTTTCCCGTGCCCAACTCTTGTCTGCTGAAAGAGGTCATACTCTGTCAACCTGCACAGCACCTTACATGGGGACGCCTCTACCATCCACATCGAGAGCTACAGGTCTCGACTCAGACCCTTGGTCAGGTAGGACCACCTCTGTTTGGGGAGGACCTTGATTTACCTGGCCCATCTACAGCACCCACTGTTGCTGTCTCACCAACTGCTGCGGGGTTATGGCCTCCGTTGGAGCAGTCCTTCTCCAACCAGCTCCAAGGGTGGATATCGCAGGCCGTGTTCCAGGCCATGGCGTCAGCGGGTCAACAACAGGCGTTCCCTATTCCAGGGTCTTCTTCCTCTGTACCGACTACCTCTGCACGGCCTCCACTGGATAGATCAGGTATGGTTTCCCCTGCCCATTCTCCTGACTCCGACTCTTCCAACATGTCGGAATATGAGGGTGGTAGGGATGGTTGGTCGGATTGTGAGGAACCTACCCATGAATCACATCCCATGGCGGAGTTCTTCAACGCTTCACTATTCCCCTCTTTGCTGCGCAGAGCCTGTACAGTGGGCAAGCTTTCCTCCCATCCGGTCCCAACCCCTCAACCTTCATCTGATCAGGACACTAATCCCCTTTTTGCGGTACCTGTAGACAAACACCTGCAAATTCCCTGTCCTCTTTTATTCCTCAGAAATATTCAGGGGCAGTGGGAATCACCGGCTGCTCAACCATCCCAGGGAACGGCTGAGCGCAAGATAGTGGATGTGGCCAAGAATTTGGCGGTTTTATTGGAGGTGCCAAAGGTAAATGAGTCAGTGGCCCCACTCTTTTCCACTGCCAGCCTCCCGGCAGACGTCTCAGACGCCCTTAAGGCGGAAGATAAAAAATCTGAAATGGCCTTCCGCAAGGTCCATTTGGCATCTGCATGGGCTACAAAGGCGGCAACTGCCACATCCTTTTTTGCCAGGATCTCAATTACCTGGCTTCGTCAGTTGCAGGACAGGATCCCGTTGGAAGAGGTTAGAATTCATCAGGATTTAACCAAATTAATAGCCACATCCGAATATATGGCGGATGTCTCCCTGTATTCGGCCAAGCATTCAGCCCGAGCAATGGCCTCCAGTGTAGTAGCTAGGAGGCTTCTATGGCTCAAAAACTGGAGGGCTGAGAGTAAACATAAGTGGTGTGCGGCCACTGCCCCCTTCACGGGTGGCAAACTATTTGGGGAGGCCCTAACGCCATATCTCATCGAGAACAAGCAAAAGATTATTTCTCATTTGGCACGGAGAACTAACAGACATTTCCTCCCTTACAGTCGCCGGCAGTCCTTTCGGACTGGGACCGCGACGGAGCCAGCACAACCTTACCGGCCCCCAGCCCCTAGGCAGGAGCGTTCCTTTGACAGGACAAACTATAGGGACAGAACCAGGTACCAACCCCAAAACAAACAGTCCTTTCGTGGCAGAGGGGGTCGCCCCTTCCGTCGCAACAAGTGACTCAGAGGGGACCCCCCCCCATTGGCGGCAGACTTACTCGTTTTATCCGCCAATGGGAAAACACGACCACAGACTCCTGGGTTCTGCGCACCATAACAGAAGGCCTGTCCCTGGAGTTCAAATCCATACCGATAGTTCATTTTGTGTCTTGCCCAACTATGAGAAACTCTATAAAAAGAGGACTCATGGAAGACGCCATCCAGCATTTACTCTCCATCAAGGCTATAGAGGAGGTCCCCCTGGATCAGATGGGACTGGGGTATTACTCCATTCTATTTGTAGTCCCGAAGTCTTCAGGGGGATGGAGGGCAATCCTCGATCTCAAGGGACTGAATCTCCACCTTCAATACAGAAGGTTCAAAATGCAGACGCTACAGTCCATCTTAGCCAGCATAAGACGGGGGGATCTATTGACCTCTATAGATCTAAAGGAGGCTTACCTACACATTCCTATCCTCCCTAACCATCGCAGGTATCTGCGATTCTGTTACCTCAACCACCACTTTCAGTACAGGGCTCTCCCATTCGGCCTATCCTCAGCACCCAGAGTCTTCACCAAGATCCTGGCAGTGCTGGCAGCTCATTTAAGGTTAGTCCCTGTATGGGTACAGTGTTATCTGGACGATATTCTGATCCAATCCGTCTGTCTCGGACGCCCAGTCGGATTTAGCCCTCACAATAAACACCCTACAGAACCACGGGTTCCTGATAACTTTCAAAAAGAGCCAGTTGACTCCCTCTACCCGCCTATTACATCTGGGCGCGGTGATAGACACGGAAGCTTGTCACGTGTACCTATCAGAGGAGCGACGCTCGAGCATCAGAGACCTGGCACGCAGAAGCAGGACTGTGTCCTTGGCCACACTTTCTCAGCTCCTGGGGAAGTTAATATCATGCATTGCAATAGTACCGTGGGCCCAGTTACACGCACGGGACCTTCAGTGGTTCCTGCTCCCGTATCAGAGACAGTATACCAGCACATCCAACCAATTGGTGCGCGTTCCTCATCAGGTGCGTCTCTCTCTAGGCTGGTGGGTTTCTTCGGCCATGCACAAGGGGACTCTATTCAAAGAGCCCAGTCGGGTCAGGGTGACCACGGACGCAAGTCTCTTCGGTTGGGGTGCACATCTACAATCCCAGATGGCTCAGGGTCAGTGGTCACAGACAGACCTCAGGCACAGCATAAATTGGTTGGAGCTCAGAGCAATTCACCTAGCTCTCAAACATTTTCACACAACAATCAAGGGGAAACACGTACTAGTCCTAACGGACAACGTGGCTGCAAAAGCCCACATGAATCGTCGGGGGCACAAGGTCCAAGTCTCTCATGACAGAGGCTCGAGCCTTGAACTCCTGGGCAGAGAAACACCTGCTTTCCATCAGGGCCAAGCATATCTCGGGAAAGGCAAACAGGCAGGCAGACTTCCTCAGCAGGTCGCTAGTGGATCATTCGGAGTGGATGTTACATCCAAATGTCTTCCGGGAGATCTCGGACAGATTTGGTCGTCCGATAGTGGACCTGTTCGCCTTGCCGGGGAACGCCCAGCTGCCCAGATTCTTTTCTTGGTTCCCCTCCCGGGGAGCAGAGGGGGCGGATGCCCTGTGTAGCCGGTGGCCACAAGGCCTGTTGTATGCTTTTCCCCCACTACCTCTGCTTCCAGCAGTTATCAGAAAGATCCTGGAGGAGCAAGCGGAGGTGATCTTTGTAGCCCCTCACTGGCCTAGGAGGCCTTGGTTTGCAGACTTGGTGGGCCTTTCAGTCTCAAACCCGTGGAGGATTCCCGATGACCGAATACGGTTGACACGGGGATCTTCAACATCCAGATCCCCGATGGCTTCAATTGACCGCCTGGCATTTGAACGCCGCACCCTGACTAGGGAATCGTATTCGGCGGAGGTGATAGATATGATCCAGGCGGCCAGGAGGCCGGCGACTAATCGTATTTACGACCATACGTGGAAGGGCTTTTGTCGTTGGTGTGACAGGAATCACGTGAGTTTGTCACAGGTAACCATTCCTAGGGTGCTAGAGTATTTGATGGAGGGCGTCAAAAAAGGGTTGGCGCCCAACACTATCCGCAGACAGCTAGCGGCACTTTCCTCAGTGCTCTCGTGGGACTCATCAGAGTCCTTGTCCAGGCACCCCACAATACGGTCTTTTCTCAAGGGAGTCACTAATAGTAGGCCCCCTGTGATTCATAGATACCCTTCTTGGAGCTTACCTCAGGTTCTTCAGGCTTTGACTTCATCTCCCTTTGAACCTCTCAAAATGTGTTCCTTACGACACTTGTCTCTCAAGGTCTCCTTCCTGATTGCAATTACTTCAGTCAGGCGCATTTCGGAGTTAGCCGCCTTGTCAATCAGGAAGGACCTGTGCAAGTTTTATGAGGACAGGGTGATTCTTCGCCTGGACCCTTCATTTATTCCAAAAGTCAATACAGTTTTTCATAGGGCACAGGAGGTCATTCTTCCAGATTTTTGTCCTCACCCGTCACATGACATGGAACGGCAATGGCACACGCTTGATGTACGGAGAGCCTTGCGATGTTATATCAAGTGTACGGCGCCTTTCCGTAAGTCGGAAGCTCTGTTTGTGTCCTTTCAGCCTTCTTCAATAGGTCAAAAGGTGTCAGCTTCCACCATAGGTAGATGGATTAGAGCCTGTATTGCCAGTGCATATGTCTCACTGGCCCTACCTGTTCCTCCTCATGTGATGGCTCACTCTACCCACAGTGCTGCCACTACTGCGGCATGGGCGACCCAGGCGTCCATTGAGGACATTTGCAGGACAGCAACATGGTCATCGCCTTCGCCTTTCATTAGGCATTACTGCTTGGACAAATTCGCGTTGGCCGAAGCCGCTTTCGGTAGGCGTATTTTACCAGAAGTAGTCACACCGTCTGGGGGTCCGGCCATAACTGACTACCGCCCTTAGGGACTCCGGAAGCTTTGGTACGTCCCATTGGTGGATTCTTCCGTCATCATGTTGGAGAAGAAGCGTTGGCTTACCTGAACGCCTTTTCTCAACATGATGAGGAAGAATCCACGCCCTCCCGTTGTATTAGTCAGTCAGGTCCGGGTTGGGTTCTTGTTCTTGTTTCTTTTCTTTGTTGCCTGCTTGAGAATCATCACGTCGTACGGTTGTCATTGGCTACTCCGTCTATGAAAACTGGGAGGTCCCAGACAAAGAGGAGGCGTGACAACTTGACAACTTGGTCTGATTGGGCAGTAGGACTGAACTAACCCATTGGTGGATTCTTCCTCATCATGTTGAGAAAAGGCGTTCAGGTAAGCCAACGCTCCATCTCTACTAAGCTAGAAATCAAACTTTGGTTTATGTTTATGTCTCGGTTACTTGTTTGGGAATCTAGTACCTTGACTCCTCAGTGCTACTATTATAAGGCTGGGTTATTGGGATCCATTAGATGTATTTGCTCTGCTGTTGGCTGGGCATTCCATAGCTGCAGTCTAGTTTCTTCATCTAATTGTCATCAAGCTTTTCATTTTTTGCTCAAACTCTTTTCTATTTAAAAGATATCATGAAGCCAATTGCTTTTTTTTTTTGTTTTACTTTGGACTACTCCTTTGCTTTTAATGAGCAGTTATCTCCACCTCATATTTGCCCTACATCTGTTATATAGAACAGAAGCATTTGCTTTACAATTGACATGCTGAAAAGTAGAACAGCAGTAGAATGGTTCCTTAGTAAATGCCTCCTTTTTGGCACCTGCAGGCCTATGAAAAACAGAAGAATGAAAAGAAGGCAGAAATGGCAGAGTTGAGCAAGGCTGCCAAAGAGTCCCAGGTGAAGAGTTTCCTTGACAAAGAGCTGAGCATTGTGAGCAAACCCCTCAATCCCTTTGATCGTCAGTCAGGTAAATCAGGAAGGCAAGCAATACTAAGCAACTGGTGGTGGAAGGGGGAAATATCTTATTTGCCATCTGTGGACAGGTATAACAAGAATGGATTCTTCCTACTGCTATGCCAGTGGTGGTGAACCAATGGCACGCGTGCTGGAGGCGGCACGCAGAACCCTCTCTGTGGGCACACGCACTGTCACCCCAGCCCCGCCTCCCCCCGCAGCCCTCTTCTCACCAGCAGCCCCTCTGGAGGAGAGTCGCCTCCGGGCGCAGACTGCATGGAGCAGCATAGCCAAGCACATGGCAGCCAGGCAGCTGGAACAAGACTCCGCCCTCATGACCCGTCGCACACAGATGATGCTGCGGGACACGGGCGGAGGGCGTGGCTGCCATGGCGCTGCTGGGCCGCCTGGGTGATCTACTGCGGTGGGCCGTGGAGGCGGTGGGTGGCCCTGCGGGGGCGGGACAGGGCATAGAGCAGGGTGGGCCGGGTGGGGAGGCAGGGGTGGGTTTGGGGCACTCAGTCTCTAAAAGGCTCACCATCTCTGTGCTATGCATTGTCTCGTGTAAATCTTAAAAATGCTGCCAGACTTGATAACAATTGCTCCCATTTTCCCTGTTCTGGTGCTGCTTCCCCTGCAGAAGCAAAGTATTCACAAAGCTCCTATTCGTTCATTAATTTTCTTTGCCTTTTGGCAATGTTTGTAATTCATGGTGCAGTGGCTTGAGCAACCTTAGAAACCAGAGTTTGGGGGGGGGCAGTCTCTTCTTACAAGGGTTGAATAAAAAGTGATGTCTCCAGATGAGCCTTGAGATGAGCTTTTTTTTTTTTTTTGCAATACTTAATTGCAACGGTCAACAAATAATTAAGATAAGTTTGAAAGCAGAAGAAAGATATTTGCTGCAACATGACAAGCCTGGGCCTCACACCTTGTGAGCCACTCAGGAGGTTGTGAAGTTGAAGAGATAAAAGTATGGAGTTCTTTCACAACAGCTTTAAGAAGCTTATCCTTTGTTGGAAGAAGTGTGTTTCTAATGAAAATTATGTAGAGAAGTAAATACAGGTAATAAAATGGCTGATCTTAAGGATTATTTTCTGGTTTATTTATTTAAACTAAACTATTTATATAAACTAAACCTGGGGAGGTAAGGCATTATTTTTTTTATCAGCCCTTACATTCTGTAAATAGGCCTTTAGCTTACTATCAAGTTTCTGTCTTTTTTCTCTTAAAGCTTTTTCCTACCCTCCTTTCAGTTTTCACTTTCACTGCCTACTCACCATCACCTCTTTTCAAGTTAGCTCTCCTGCTACCATTCTCTTTGCATCAATGTGAAATCGAATCACCCAGAAGAAATGTAGGCAGTTGCTACAAGAAGTGAACCTTCTCTTCGAGCATGGAGTAACAATGCCTGCATTATTCCCATCTTTGTTGAGCTTGATGCCACTAAAGTAATGATGAGGGACGCATTTTGGGATGCACAAGAAAAAGACTTCCTGGATCCTTTTACATGTTCTAGAGTAGACTAAGCATGCACAGGGCCACTGTAATCCCGTGTGCAAATGGTATGCCAAACAAAAGCATCTTGTAAGGGAGGGGGTGAATAGGTCACCAGTTGTAAGGTAAAAATTGTTTTTAACGGTGTGTGAATGTGTATGCATGCCTCTGGAATATTTTAAAAAATGTTTTTAGCAGCACATGAGTGCATATAAAATTATGCACAAGGACACTTGGTATTACAACTGCATCCCTGAGCATGTAGATTAATTTCAGTGCTGCTAGATGTATAGTGTTATCCCATCTCACCCACCCACATACAATTAATGTTTGAAAATCTGGGACTTCTGGTTTTTGCGTCTGCAGCGCATGGCCGCATGAGAGCGGTCCTCTGCTTCCCACGTCTAGTTTCTTCCTGTTTGGGGGTCCCTAGATGGCCCCAGAGAGGTGACTGTGAAGGAAGGGCGCCCCGTCGATCACGAAGCAACGACAATTGCTTCGTTTGATCCGGGGAAAGCCCTCGGAACCCGACAGGAGAAAGACTAGCATGAGATCAGCGTCTAGCCCAGGGGTAGGCAACCTTGGCTCTTTTGGCTCAGGAATCCTGGGAGTTGAAGTCCATGAGTCATAAAAGAGCCAAGGTTGCCTATCCCTGGTCTAGCCCAAGCTGCTTGCAGCCAAAGTCCCAGAGCACAAACAGCGTGAACAGCGTGCTTGGAATTGATGAGAGTACTGATCTTCTTTCTTCTATCTAATATTTAAATCCTTGAAAAGATCCCCAAAGCAAGAAAACCTCCAGAAGTGAAGGAAGGGGACTATATCCCCCATTCCCTTACAGACCAAAGAGGCGAATTAACATAAAAGGTGGAAAGAGATATACTAAAATTTGATTTAAAATATTTCAGTCTGGACAAATCTAGGAACTAAAAAACTGTCACGACTATACCCTAAAAAATTTCTGATGGAATTATAAAAATATATAACAAAAACTGAAAAAAGAAATAACTGCTGACATCTAGTGGAGAATCAGAGAATAGAACACTAACAATAAGGACCCAGAAATTGGCAGAATGCCCAGAAACAAAGAAAAAGTTGTTCCTTTGAATTGCAAATAACCTTGAAGACAGCTGGGAACAAAGGAAGAGCCAGCTATAAGATTAAAAAGGAAAAGAAACAAAACCCACCTGGACTGTTGCTTAAACCTAAGAACTGTTTCTGGAAAAAAAAACTTTGGCTTTTTGGCTAATCTATTAGAAGAGAATTTGCTGGAAGAATTTAAAGTGGCTTAATATCCTGAATCTGTAATTTTGACTGACTGATAAATTGACTTTTGAATTAAAACATTGATGAAAGATTATTTGAAGTGGGGAGACAACATGGATATCACATACGTATCAAAAAATGACAGGATGCCACATTCAATATTCTCTCCTGAAGGATTTAGCCTGGAAAATCAAGGGCCTCCAGAAGCAATACTTCAAGGCAAGATAAATACTTTCCCGGAGGAAATATATGTAATGTTAGGACAAATACAAATGACAATAGATTCAAACCACGACAAAATTAAAAACAACTTTGATGATTTAAATAAGCATATCTCCATCTAAATTTACAATTAAAAAATACCCAGGAAATAACAAAGGAACAAACAAATCAGACAGAGGAACAAACAAATCAGACAGAGGATCAACTAGAAAACTATGATCAAATTGATGAAATAACAAAGGAAAAGAATTACAATTTGACACAAACAGGAAAAAATCTACAAGGTTCTGATACAACAAGAAAAATGGAATTATTAGGAGAACATTAAAAGTTTGGGGGACAGAAAGAATTTATCTTACTTATTTCATCTTTTGTATTCCCAACAATGTTTGTAAAAATACAGGAACTGTTGGGTAAGCAGATTACATCAACTTGGAAAATAACTTGGCAAAATAAGAAGATCAG